GTTTCAAGTAACGAGTAAAGTAAGGGATTACTAAAAAACGGTAATAAGATTACCGTTACTTTCCCGTAGGAACGCTGCGTTACTGCGTTACTAAAACTGTGATTTTTTTGCGAGAATGTCTCATGACAGTGACGTAAGCAAGTGCGACGTTCGTGACAACAGCTGTGGTCAATGGTGCAGATCAACAATGGATAATATATCGAGTGCGGGAGAGAGTATGAGCGTGCAGCGTTTAAAGCGTGGAAGTACTGACCTTATTTTGAGTTTGATTCCGTAAAAAGTGACAAAAACATTAGTGTCCGTTGTGCGTGGGAAGAAAACGTCTTTTTACAGCGAAAAACCCCCTAAACTTCCAAGCAAGCACCGAGTGCGCTACGACGTAATGGGAAACTCACAGAGAACTGAGCGCTGCAGCACACCTGCACCATGTAAACCTCCGCCTACCCTACTCCTGCTTTACAGGTGAAAATGGAGCAAAAGTCTTTGACTTTATTTATTTTCTGCTGTGTTTTATTTGCATCTATTTGAAAGAGTGAGTAATAACACAAAAAAATTATTTTATGTGCTGGAATGTGTAGAAAATAGGTTTAAATATTAAACTAATTTCTTCCAGTCAGAGAATGTTGCATATAATTAAATTTTTGCTTGATGCATAAAGTTAAAATATTAAAACTAATAAAACAAGTTTTAAAAAGGGACTTTTCCATTTGATTACATTTTGTATGATGGATTATGTAGAAAAAGTAGAATTGGGCTGAAAGAGCCATCACTTTATCACCTATTCAGGTTGTAAATCGTGTTTTTAACAAGTAACTAAGTAATTAATTACTTTTGAAAATAAGTAATCAGTAAAGTAACGGGATTACTTTTTGGGGGAAGTAATCAGTAATTTGTTACTGATTACTTTTTTCAAGTAACTTGACCAACACTGCGTACCACCATACTGATCACAGCCATGGGTAGTATATTGGATGGATTAAAGACGAAGAGCTAAAATGCAGTTCAGGGATGGGAAGACTATAGATGAGGCGTGATTGTGAACAGATCGGAGAAGAGATCCTTCTCTCTCACTGCTATCCTTGTCTCAGTTTCAGAAGCAAAGACAGCTGGTATTTAGAGAAGCAGCCCTAAATCCCCCATATGGTGCCAATATAGTTATTTTTGAATTTCCTGTTCTGTTCTCTCAAAGTCAGTGGACTTTATGGATTTTCCATTAGATGCCTAACATAAAGTCTGCAATTAACATAAGCTTTAGACATGTTCAAGTTGTGTTGTTCTAAAACTTAAAATATTTTAATTAAATATCCCACTTGGGAATTCAGAGAAAGTGAATAAACGAGACAACAGAAATTTGTGGGGACATTCGGTTCTGTGGTGTCCAAAACAGGAGCTTAGTGGTGATGGCAAAGTCATGTGACTGACCTAAATGATTCTGCCCTCATCAGTTCAAATCCAAGATATTTCCACCATGACCACAAATGGAGATTAAAGAATTTGATATTTGGCATATCACAGTCATTAAACAATTAATTTCAAGAATAAAGTTTAAATGTCAAGACTGAGTGCACTTATTTTTTTATACATTTACTTGAATCTCAGTCTCACTGTGTAGCCTTTCCTTTATAGCTGTGAGAAAATCTTTGGAAAGCAGAATCACTGAGCTGTTTGAAGGTCCGTTTCTAAATCGCAGTCACTCTGAAAATGTGTAGCATGGTCAAACCACTTGAGAAACCTGTTGATTTAATTTCCAGACGGTGAAAAAGCAGTCACTAAGTAGCTTCTTGATTCCACCGTAGCAGTTGACAGTGCTCTACCCAGGCCCTGCAACAGCAAAGTGGCCTGTCTGATATGAGGGGCAGTTTAAGAGGAAGTGGCACCTGCCAGGGTAAAAGACCTTACCTGTACAATTTTCTCAGGTAGAGAAATTACGGATGGCATGCATGCATTCTGGAAAGATGATGCCAGTATGTGCATGAAACCAGCAGCCAGATACTAATCAGTACCAATCTTTTGTTCACATCGGATTCTCTTTCTTGCTTTTGTTCAAAGGAACTCCTTACTTTTGACTCCCGCGTGCTAGCCAGATGTCTTGAGTGTCTGAATTGCTTTATACGAATCATATTTATTCCTTCATACCAAATTTTTATGGCAAGAGAAATGCATCATCTTCTCTTGGTGAACGATGCACAGCAGTACAAACACGAGCAAAAGTCTCAAGTCTATGCTCATTTCTTCAAAACAGTGTTGTGAAAACATAATTTGTTCCATTTCTTTAGTTGAAGCTATGAAAAATGCCAAAGTTTGACATAAAATTGTATTTTATATCCCAGCATGGTGTGTAGTGTGTTCTTAAAAAAATTGAGGAAAATTTGAAGTATCAGGACTAAATAATAATAATAATAATAATAATAATGATGGATTGGATTTATATAGCGTTTTTCAAGGCACCCAAAGCGCTTTACAATACCACTATTCATTCACTCTCACATTCATACACTGGTGGAGGCAAGCTACAGTTGTAGCCACAGCTGCCCTGGGGCAGACTGACAGAAGCGAGGCTGCCATATCGCGCCATCGGCCCCTCTGAATTTACAGTGGGGCAAAAAAGTATTTAGTCAGCCACCGATTGTGCAAGTTCCCCCACCTAAAATGATGACAGAGGTCAGTAATTTGCACCAGAGGTACACTTCAACTGTGAGAGACAGAATGTGAAAAAAAAATCCATGAATCCACATGGTAGGATTTGTAAAGAATTTATTCGTAAATCAGGGTGGAAAATAAGTATTTGGTCAATAACAAAAATACAACTCAATACTTTGTAACATAACCTTTGTTGGCAATAACAGAGGTCAAACGTTTACTATAGGTCTTTACCAGGTTTGCACACACAGTAGCTGGTATTTTGGCCCATTCCTCCATGCAGATCTTCTCGAGAGCAGTGATGTTTTGGGGCTGTCGCCGAGCAACACGGACTTTCAACTCCCGCCACAGATTTTCTATGGGGTTGAGGTCTGGAGACTGGCTAGGCCACTCCAGGACTTTCAAATGCTTCTTACGGAGCCACTCCTTTGTTGCCCGGGCGGTGTGTTTTGGATCATTGTCATGTTGGAAGACCCAGCCTCGTTTCATCTTCAAAGTTCTCACTGATGGAAGGAGGTTTTGGCTCAAAATCTCACGATACATGGCCCCATTCATTCTGTCCTTAACACGGATCAGTCGTCCTGTCCCCTTGGCAGAAAAACAGCCCCATAGCATGATGTTTCCACCCCCATGCTTCACAGTAGGTATGGTGTTCTTGGGATGCAACTCAGTATTCTTCATCCTCCAAACACGACGAGTTGAGTTTATACCAAAAAGTTCTACTTTGGTTTCATCTGACCACATGACATTCTCCCAATCCTCTGCTGTATCATCCATGTGCTCTCTGGCAAACTTCAGACGGGCCTGGACATGCACTGGCTTCAGCAGCGGAACACGTCTGGCACTGCGGGATTTGATTCCCTGCCGTTGTAGTGTGTTACTGATGGTGACCTTTGTTATTTTGGTCCCAGCTCACTGCAGGTCATTCACCAGGTCCCCCCGTGTGGTTCTGGGATCTTTGCTCACCGTTCTCATGATCATTTTGACCCCACGGGATGAGATCTTGCGTGGAGCCCCAGATCGTGGGAGATTATCAGTGGTCTTGTATGTCTTCCATTTTCTGATGATTGCTCCCACAGTTGATTTTTTCACACCAAGCTGCTTGCCTATTGTAGATTCACTCTTCCCAGTCTGGTGCAGGTCTACAATACTTTTCCTGGTGTCCTTCGAAAGCTCTTTGGTCTTGGCCATGGCGGAGTTTGGAGTCTGACTGTTTGAGGCTGTGGACAGGTGTCTTTTATACAGATGATGAGTTCAAACAGGTGCCATTCATACAGGTAACGAGTGGGGGACAGAAAAGCTTCTTACAGAAGACGTTACAGGTCTGTGAGAGCCAGAGATTTTCCTTGTTTGAGGTGACCAAATACTTATTTTCCACCCTAATTTACGAATAAATTCTTTACAAATCCTACCATGTGGATTCATGGATTTTTTTTTTCACATTCTGTCTCTCACAGTTGAAGTGTACCTCTGGTACAAATTACTGACCTCTGTCATCATTTTAAGTGGGGGAACTTGCACAATCAGTGGCTGACTAAATACTTTTCTGCCCCACTGTATATTCAGTAGCTGAATATAAATTCATGTCCTTAAGAAACAGGAAAGAAACCCAGCAAAGACCTGACACAGGACCTGAGAGATGCCTCCGGACTTTCAGCTGTCTGTCTACAGCCATCTGTGAAACACGGTGGAGGTTCTGTCAGGGCTGCATGTCAGCCAGTGGTGTTGCAGATCTTGTCAAAATTTCTGAATTAATAATTTATCAAAGTACCATCAGATATTGATCCACCGTGCAATATCATCTGGAAAACATGATTGGCAAAAGCTTCATTTTCCAGCACAACAATGATCCCAAACCAAAATGCCAATGCAGTAAAATCATACTTGGATAGAGAATCACACAGTGGAGCACTATCAGTCATGGATCGGCCTCCCTGAGCCCGGACCTCAACATTATTGAAGCAGTGTGGGATCATGTTGACAGAGAACAGAACAAAAGGCAGAAACGTCCAAAGAAGAGCTTTGAATGTCCTTCAAGAAGCCTGGAGAACTATTCCTGAAGACGACTTAACGAAATGACAAGAAAGCTGCCTAAGAGAGTTCAGACTGTGCTGAAGAATAAAAGTGGTCACACCAAATATTGACTTTTAGGTTATTACTGTATAAACTCTGTTTTTTCCTTACATGCTGCCACATATTATACACAAGACCTTATATCTTACGCTATTAACTTATACCTAATATGTGATGTTTGGTACTCAAAGCTGTGGGCAAGCTCTGCACCGTCACCACCTCTGTGCTCACATCTCACACAAACAAAAAACCACCATGATACACTTTCCCACTTAAACAGCATGAATTTGAAACAGCAAGTGAAATTTATTTAAATTAAATAAAATCTTGTACATTTCACAGCTATAGGGGCCTACATAGTAAGCAAAATAAAGTCTACTCTTTGTCCATGTGCAGAACTACACCACAGGGTAGCTCCAAAACAGTCTGTCATCATTTGAATATAGGAGAGGGAGTTTGCTTGGTGGAAGAAGACGGCCATAGCCAGATCCTACTCCCCAAAAGACTGGATAATGTAAAAAAAAAAGACGGGAAAAAAGGTTATGTGTGGCTTCTGGTAGTGCTTTCATGCTGATTCCTTCCAGCTGTAGACATCCACCTTTAAAATACAACATATTTTTCACCATATCACCATGCTTTAAAGGCAGTTAGCCAAAGTTCCTTGTAATGAACACATAAAGACTGATTTCATTATATTGTAGTGATACTTTACGGTAAATCGTTTGTTCCTCTCCAAAATGAGCACATAAGCTTTTGTAATGAAACTTATCAGCTGCTGATATTAATGCAATCTACTTTGGAAATGTCTCTCAGCATGTGTGGCATCATATCCTGTAGATCTTGCAGTCTGCTCCAATGATAGATGGCTGTCACAGACTTAAGAGAGTACGGCCTGTGCAGTCTTGATGCCAACTAGGTTGTCTGCACTGACAGACCTTCTCATGGCCGATTTACTCAAGTCCTTATACTTGTCCTCACATAGCCTGGAGATAGCCTACAAAAAAGAGAAAGATAAGAACAATAAAAAACAATAATAATCAGAAGAAGTTTCAAACTGTTACGACAGAACAAGCAGAGCAGCCACAGCATACCAACACTTACTTAATCAGTTCAGCAGTCGGAATATATACATTTCCAAACTGCAAAATAAAATCAGCCCTGGAAAATTACTCACCTCGAGTTTTTGGGCCCGCTTGGTACTGAGTGGCTCCAGAGGGAAACTGAGGTTGTTGTCATCAGCCAGTGAGCGCAGGTCAAAGTAGTACTTGGCGTAGACGCTGGCTGGGACATTAATGTTGAACTGGAGCAGCTCCAAAAAGTGACGCTCCATCTCATTCCTGCAAAACAGTTTGGAAAGGTTCACGAGCTTTTATTAAAAAACAAAAGGTCCTTTCCAGGCTGCAGGAACCTTTTGAGGGCTTTCCTATAACTCTTGGAGGTGGTCCCCACTTTCCGTGTGTTTGCACTGTGTGAACTAGAAACTACGCTACTTAAAAAAATTAAAGGAACACTTTGAAAATGCATCAATCTCAATGGGGGGGGAAAAGCACGTCTGGATATCTATACTCTTATGCACTGGTATTCAGAAAATAAAATCACAATGCCACTATGATGGAAATTAAAATAATCAACCTACAGAGGGCTAAATTCAAAGTGAAAATGAAACAGGGAGTCAAGTGAACGTGCGGACCAGGCAATGGTATCAATTCCTTTAACCTCCAGGAACTACTTGCATACTCTTGCCACATGAAGCACTGTTGTGCACCAGGAGGAACCCAGTACTCACTGCAACAGCGTAGGGTCTGTCAATGGGTTCAAGGATACCTAATGGTAGTCAGGGTGTTGTTGCCTAGCCTGTAGGGCTCTGTGCGTTCCTCCATGGATATGCCTCCACAGACTATCACTGACCCACTACCAAACCAGTCATGCTGAACAATGTTACAGGCAGCAGAATTTTCTCCACAGCTTCTCCAGACCCTTTCACATCTGTCACGCGTGCTCAGGGGGAACCTGCTCTCGTCTGTGAAAAGCATAGGGCGCCAGTAATGGACCTGCTAATTTCTGGTACACTATGGCAAATGCTAATCGGGCTTCACAGTGCCGGGCAGAGATCACAGGGCCCACTAGAGGATGTCAGGCCCTCAGGCCACCCTCATTAAGTCTATTTATGATGGTCTGGTCAGAGACACTGACACGAGTGGCCTGCTGGAGGTCATTTTGTAGATCTGGCAGTGCTATACAAAAACTACTGTAATACTTACATGTCCTCCACGGTGATATCTTTGAGGATCTGGCAGTAATCGACATTCCACACAGCCTGATCATCCCAGACCTTGGAGGCCAGTAAGATGGCACCAAGAACAATGCGCTTCCAGTTACAAGGACAAATGTCCATCTCAGCATACGTTAACAGCCTTTCCAGATACACCTAAGGCAGAAGGAACCCATCCATTCACACAAGCAGAAAGGGTGATAGTTCTCAATACTTCTTTGCATCATTCAACACTCTCTGCAGTGTGGTGGATGTTTGAACTTACCAGAGTGACGATGGCGCACTCGGCGGTGAGCTGAGCAGAGCTGAAGAGCGTTCTTATGAAGCGGTAGATGAGTTTGTGTTCCGGGTCAACCACAGAGTAGTCATCTGGAACCTTTTCTCGCTGTTGGGCAGAAGGTCATCATCAGCGGTCCACTAATATAGCAAATATCACTGCTTGGTGTAATCAACCACCTCAACTCACCGACAGTGGGTGCTTCTTCTCGTCGAATATATCCAGCGAGCGGTTTGAATCTCTGTAGATGCAACAAGCCACTGTTACGTGATATGTAACTTCTCATGGTTTGAAACTACCATTGCTTATTCACTGGGGTTTCTTGGTGTTAGATATCACAACAGTTATTTATCTTTCGTTGAGTTCTACAAATACTTTGTAGATTACAAACATTGATGTGCATTGATGTTAACAAACATTTTGTTTCCTATATTATTAAGTATCTGACTCACTGATGTCCAAAAAACTAATTTGGCCACCTGCTGTGAAAAAATATTTGCCCCCTTCCTGATTTCTTCGTTTTTTTGTTGTGTATTTGTCACACTTAAATGTTTCAGATAATCAAACAAATTTTAATGTTAAAGATAATAAGTGCATTTAACATCTAGTTTTTACGGTAAATGAAAAAAGTTAATACAAACCTGCCTGGTCCTATGTTAAAAAGGAATTGACCCCTAAACCTAGTAAGTGGTTGTGTCACTCTTGCCAAAAGAATGGGAATCAAGTGTTTCTGAGAACTGTGGAGGAATTTTGCTCCACTTTTCTTTGTACAGTTGTTTTAATTCAGTCACACTGGAGGGTCTTCTAGCATGAACGGCCTGTTTAAGGTTGTGCTAAAGTAGCGCCATCTGATTTAAATCAGCATTTCAATTAAGCCGCTGAAAGCCTTTCTCTTTTTTTTTGACGCATTCACAGGTGGACACGCTGGTGTTTCTGATCATTGTCCTGCTGTATAACCCAAGTGCTCTTGAGCTTCAGGCCATGAACTTGTGGTTGGACATCCACCTTCAGGATTTTCTGCTAGAGAACAGAATTCATGGTTCCATCAATTACAGCAAGTCGTCCTGAAACAGCAAAGCAGCCTTTAGATGTTGTTCTGAGGTTTTTTGTGACCCAAAAGTGAAACTGTCGCTGTGCTCTTGGAGTCATTTGGATAGGCCGGTCACTCCTGGGAGGGTTCACCACTGTTCCGAGTTTTCTTCATTTTTGGATAATGGCTCTCACTGTGGATCCAATCTGTGGATCAAGTGGGGCCAATTACTTTTTTCCACACAGGATGAGGACGAAGTAGGCTTGGATAACTTTTTTGCCTTAATAAATAAAGTCATTTAAAAACTGTTTGTTTGTATTTACTCAGGCTATGTTGGTCTATTATTCAAATTAGTTTGATGATCTGTAACATGTAAGTTTGACCAATATGCAAAAAACTAAGAAATCAGAAAAGGGCAAATACTTCTTCACCACATTGTATCTATTCTTTGAGTTGCCACCACCAAGTGCTATGACTCTGGCCATAAAACTCAAAAACCATACTTGACCTAAATTAGGCAAAATTGCATCCTTGGATCACTTCCAAGAACATGACTTTAAGGAAAGTAGCTCCTACTTTCCTTAAAGTCATGTTTTGACAGTTACTATATTTAAAATGCAAATAAATTGCATTTCAAACTGAGATGATGCAAACAGAGAACTCAATTTTCAACCTATTATGTGCAGACATGAGATGAAAAAAACTTAATTTTTTTTTTTTTTAAACGCAATCACAACCTCTTTTTTTATTTTTTATTTTTTTTTGCAATTCTGACCTGACGCAAGCCACCTTCTGGTTTGTTTGTCAATCAGAGCTAAATTGCCAGGTCTCTCTTGGAAATGAGATTTTTAATCTCAATGAGATTTTTTACCTGGATAAATAAAGGACTAATAAAAATTAAAAATCTCTGGCTCTCATTACCAGTGATGATCTTAAAAAGCTGTACCCATCTGGCACTTAAGTTGATATCCACCTTCTGCATACGTCTGTCATTCATGCATGATGTATTTAGCAGTAAGACAAGGCAAGTAGCATTTCCTATAGGACTTAGATGAAGTAATTAAAAATTAGCCTAAGTACTAAAATCAGTCTTTCTTACAAACTTGATGACTAATGTTTGTAAATATCTAAGTACTGGTTACAACAATGAAGAAAACGTTGCACTACCAAGAGACAATACTTCTGACGTTTCCTACCTGTTTTTTATGTGGTAGTATATGGCCAGTGCAACACTGCAAGAGACAGAAATCAACAAAGAATAAAACACTAGAGCTGGATTTTCCCTTTTACAGCTTTTTATTTTTACTTCTACTTTACAAATAGATATTTAGATCTTTTCAACTGCAGCTATTTGGTGACTTTAAATGTTACCTGCAGTTCAGGACAAACAAACAGAAACATTTTGCAAATAATTAAACAGTAGACTGACAACATGTCAGTAACATAATTGTGTATAACAAGAGGATCTTAAAGGGGACGGAGTTTCTCAGAAGTAAAGATGGGCCAAGGTTTAGTAATCTCAAAAAAGCCTATGTACAAATTGGGGAACAAATTCATGTACAGATGAGGAGACTTTGAATATCTAATAATATTCAGTACATAGTGATATTAAACAATTCACAGAACTGGAAGAAATATCTGTGCACAAAAGACACGGCTAAAAATCAGTGCCCATGATCTTCGGGTGGCACTGCATTAAAAACAGGAGTATCTATCAGTGCCTACTGAATTGGTAGCTTGGACATCTGGAAAAGCATCATCAATGCTGAAACGCATATGAAGGCTTTAGAGCAAGATATGCTGCCGTGCAGAGAGCTTCTTCAAGGAGGTTTTTGCATATTTCAGTAAAACAGTGCTAAACCACATACTGCATGTATTACAAGAGCATGACTTCCTGGTAAAGAAGTCCAGATGCCGAACTTTTCACCAGCTGAAAGCGGCAGCTAGAATCTTATATCAGGACATCATTCCTCTCCCAAATGTCCAGCAAAGCTCTCTTTTTAGTTTCCACACTTTTATTAAAAGAAGATGGGATGCTACACAGCGTTAAACGTGGCCATGATGCTGCCATCAAATTCAAAATAAACATATGATAAGTTTAAAATGTTTTAAAGTGAGTCAAAACTGTGTTTGTGGAATTTGCAAACCATTGAACTCTGATTTTTATTCACACTTTACACAGCATCCCAACTTCTTTTGTACTTGCACTTGCAGCAGTACTGAGGTGAGGGCGGTCACTTACCATTTAATAGTGCTCTTGAGATTGGGCTGGCTGACGGTGCTGTCATCGAGGAATATGGTTGAACACGAGCTGTACTTTTTAGAAAGGAGTCCCGGGGACATCTGGCATCGAAAGCATGTTTAGAGACAGAATGGAGGGGAAAACGGGTTATAGAAACACATTCAACCCCAGAGAAATGAGATGTATGACTGAATCATTTCAGCAACAAAAAGACCCACGAAGAACACGCAGAGCCGTAACTTACGTGATTCATGTAGTTGCTTTTCCTTTTCTCGCGGACTGAAATTGGATAAAAAACAAAATCAAAGAGATGTAGGAGTTTCAGAAGAGAATGGGGTAAAGTATTAAAGCACCAGAGAAATACTGACCATCTGTCTGAGACTTGTTGAGGAATAGAGTGCTTGCTCTGGGGTGGTCGGATGGGTTGGCCTCTTGGGCCAGCTCTGTAGAAGGAAAGTGTTAGAAGTCTTCATATAAGACTACAGTGTTTGTCTAGGAGCTGCCACGCTGCTGCTGATTTAATGCTAAACAGCTCTTAAAGCATGTAAAACATTTAAACTGAATCACTTGCAGTAAACCGGCACCAGGACAGGACAACATCACTGCATGCAATCACATCTCCAAAAATAGCAAACTAATCTCCACACACCATCTGGAAGCTCCCTGTCGCTGATGTGCTGCAGGTATGTCCCAGTGTCCTCGCTCACATCTTCAGTAGTGGTGATGGGACACTCCTCCAGCTCCACCTCTCTCCTGTGGATCTTGGGGCTCTCTCCAGGAGAGATGCAGCAGGACACCGAACCTCCCATCGCTGACCTGCAAAAGTCCTGCAACAGCCAGCACCGCTTTCCATACAATTGAGGAGGGACCACCTGCTAGTCTGGCAATTCTGAAGCTGCAGGAAGGTCTGCAAGATCTTTAAGCCAAACCTTACAAGGGGTTGTTAGGAAAAATACATAAAACACTAGTTTTGCTCTGCCTTGGCGAGATCGGGTTCAATCACAACCTGGAAGTGTTCGGATTATTTGAAAATGTGCGTGTTGTGGACCAGCACAGCCCTTGTGTTTTTGCTGCAAAGTGAACGATCTCGCTTCAGAGCAGAACGGGATCTATGCAAGGACAGCCAAGTAAGTATCTGCGGTATGTGCAGGACGGCTGACATATTCAGGGTGTGTGCGCAACCCACGGATGGCGCACTTTAATATGAACTGCGTGCGTGGGCTGCATGGTTTGGGGCTGAGAATAACCGCTACCAAGTCATTTTACGGAAAACAGTCTAATGAGACGAAGTCAGGCGTTCCTCTGCCTCCCTCCATGGCTAGCCGGCTAACGCTAGCTTCCGCACCTCAATCCACTGCTGGCTCCTCCAGCAGCGTGACTCAATCCATTTTCACTGCGGCTCAAGTCTGTGTCACCGCTGCAGCCCTTTCAGCGACAGTACCGGGCGAATTCACCAGCCGGAAGGGTTTTTAGAGGAAACGGGGAAAGTGAACGGCCAGTGGGTATCAAAGCGGTGGCCGGAGGTGGCGTTCATCTCGTCGCACTAGCGGGACACAAGCTTTAGATGTCAAAGCGACCGTAGCAGGTAAGTTCAGAGGTAATTTCCTGCTTAAGGTTTTCAAAGTAAACGTCCATGGACCTGTAGCTGCAATAGATGCCATTGGTGGCAGGTTCTTACTAAGAAAATACCCACCACTGTGCAGCCTTTTCATATTCGATGAAAATATGTATTTTTTTTCTTTTTTTATTTCTTATGTCTATACTCTCAGCACAGAGTGAGTCTCTTCACGCAGCTCAAAAACCCTTTATTTGCAGTACACCGGAAGCTACATCGCTGCTATGTGTTGCTACCTTTACAGACCTGCGGGTTTTTTTCAGACCACGCCCCCTCCTAGCTAAAACACAACCCCGTTAAGAAAATCTTGCAGACACGCCCATCGCAAAGACTTACTCTTTTCCCATTGGTCACTTTTAGCTGGGCAGTTACGTGATTGGCTAAATTTGTTCGTTGACGTCAACACGGGTTGCCGTCTTCAGTTGCCTGAAAGCGAATCGGTCTCTTGCGCTTCAGTATTTATTAAAGAAAACAAGCCAACTATCAACGCTAAAAGTTGGTTCATATACCCTAAGAACATTCTTTAACAAACGAATTAAATAATAGCTATATAATAACTCCAGAAGATGGCGGAAACGAATCAATGAGCCAGCCTAGGGAAAACGTCGAAGAAGAAGGAGGAGCGCACTGCGCATGTGTAAACGAGTGTGGGTTTTATTTATTTCAAACATGGCTCTCGTTCCCTATGTAGAAAACCCATTGCCTGCGCTTTCCAAACTCCACAATTCATCAGCACAGTTTAGGTTTGCCAACCGCGACCTCCGACTCGCTCAGGACTGGAAAAAGCTCGGTGTGGCGGCAGTTGTGTGGGATGCGGTACGTTACAACAGTGCTTAGCTTCAATAATTCCTCCATGTTTCATTAGATTTATACATTACTATTGCATTTGTGTTACTGCCCAGGCGGTGGTCATGTGTATGTACTTGGAGCTGGGAAGAGTGGAGCTAAAGGGGAAGAAAGCAATTGAATTGGGAGCTGGCACTGGTCTGGTGGGCATTGTAGCAGCTCTGCTAGGTAAGTGCATAATTACTAACCACCAAAAACTGGAGGTGGTCGGATCACTCCAAACATCAGTAGTATCAGTACCAATGCTGCTATTGGTATCAGATCGATACTAGCCCAAAAGGATCAGCACTTTGGTTTCAAACCTTTAAGTTCAGTATGTACACAAAAGAACTGTGTTAAATAATTAATATAAAATAATGAAAAATATACACACATATATAACACATTAAAACAACAGAGGTTGACCCAAGATGCTTTAGAGACAGGCTCATTTGGATTCCTTGTCTCCAAAACTAGTCGTGTGTGATACCAAATAAATACAGGGCTAATGCTGAAGACAGCAATGCTGACACTTTTAACCTGTGGAGGCAGCATATAAAGGTCAGAGCAGTGTCATTATTTATGATAAATTGTCATCAATTAGTAGATTCTGATGACATTTTAATGATCACTAAATCACTGAAATTTTTGCTTTCCACAATAATGAGTTAACACAAAAAACACACCTTTCAGCACTTTGTGTATTTTGAAACTGTGTTTTTTGGAGACCTTGAATTTAAATATGCATGTGTTTAAAACACTGTAGGTCAGCTTCAGTTGTTTAAATGTGCTGCAACAGGCTATATATCACAGATGTCACAGTATGTATCGATCCTATTGGGCTAGTATTGAAGGATATTAATACCATCGATATTTGGATTAATCTGCACACCTTTATCCAAAAACTGAAGGTGTTTTTTGTTGTGTTAACTCATTATTGTGGAAAATTAAAATCAAATTGATTTAGTGGTCATTAAAATTTGTTCAGGATTCATCATGACACACTACTCTCTGCTACATAATCTCCCTTCATAGGTTTAAAGTATCCATATTGATATCAGCAATACTGGCCCTGTATTTACTGTGTATCAGATCGATACCAAAATTTGCAGTATCTCATAGCACTATCAAAAACCCTTGAGAGTGTGGCGGGTGAACAAGGAAAGCTGTGATAGTCCTACTCTAACCCTTCCCTAGGTGCCAGAGTGACCATCACTGACAGAGAGCCTGCGCTGGACTTCCTCTCTGCTAACGTGAAAGCAAACCTGCCCCCAGATTCCCAACAATCAGTGGTGGTCTCTGAGTTGACCTGGGGCGAGGGCCTCGAGCGATACCCAGCCAGAGGGTTTGATGTGGTTCTGGGTGCGGATATCATTTACCTGGAGGACACATTTTTGCCTCTGCTGGAAACGCTGGAGCACCTGAGCTCAGACGCCACTGTGGTGTTACTGGCCTGCAAGCTCCGCTATGAGCGAGACACGAACTTCCTAGGCATGCTTAAGCAGCACTTCACCGTCGAAGAAGTCCACTACGACAAACAAAGAGACATACACCTATACAAAGCTTGCAAACTGACACGGAAGAGAGACTTGTGACCATTTGTTCGTTTTAATATATGAAATAAAATGTTTTAAAATCAGATTACCAGAAACACATTTATTAACAGCTGCCAAAAGTGTCATATCTGAATAGCTCTAACGTAATGCACTGTATTATTATACAAGTTGTTGCTGACATTTAGAAATAGTGAATACAAAAAAAATAAACGAGAAGCAACATAAAAAGCATACTATATCATGACTATACATAATACCTAAAGAATACAATATGGCATCCCATTATCACAAAAATATTTTCTTTTAGAACCACCAACACCACCTGATCTTACAGTCATTTCACAAAGTGGGTGCAGTTGAGTTGTATCTGGTGAGCTTTGATGCTCCATTTACAAAAAAAAGAAGTGATCAAACACATTGATGCAACAACATTTGATTAACTGTAGATGAGTGGTAGATTTACCCAGAAAGCGGTGAAATGCTGAAGGATTGTAAATGCAAAGAAAGTGCACATGCTAGCTCATATTACTATAAACAGAATTAAGAGACGGTGACCGAGGCCTCAGAGGGGCCCGGTATGGCAAATTTCCCCCCTCTGATGTAATTCCATGATTCCAGTGCTTTATCCACTTGTCTCTGAATTCTGCTTAAAAACTCTTTCATTGCATAACAAGTAAGGCTCATTAAGTTTTTGGTTATTGTTCAAAAATAATCCATGAGTCTATGGAGAGAGAGAGAAAAAAGAAAAAGGTTTTGCTTACAGTATATAATCTCTGATAAACGTGCAGCAGCTTATTTATCCGTTATTCCCACTTCCTGTACTGTCGAAGGCCTATTTTGCCTTTGTTTGTTTTTACCACCAAAATCTGGTAATTAACAGGACACCATTACGCAATTTTCCACTTAATGTCTCTGAAGTTTTAAAAAAAATGAAGACAAAAAGCCCCCCCCCCAACTTCACTGCTGCCCAACTTTTACCATCTCCTCACTGTGCTGCAGTTAACATGAAAAAAACATTTTACAACTAAATGGTTAGTTTTTTGTTCACGTTGTATAAAAGCAAAAATATACTTGGGTAAAACAAAGAAAAAAGAAACATGGCATTGTAGAAGCACAATCTAATTCAGAACAAACCAAAACACACATCTTAAAAGATAAAAACGTCCAAGACACAGGCCACCTATAAGTATAAGCATTAATAAGTAACAGATGTTAATTCGAGAGTTACAGATAGAAATGTTTCACGTGAAGTTATACTCTCCGAAAGGGAAAAGAAAAGAAAAAAGTTCCATCATCATCATCATTATCGGTGGTGCTTGCGGTCAGTTCCCCCATTGCTGGTGATGTTGCCCGGGTAGTCCGGGCACCAGTGACTGGAATGCTTCCCATCGGTGGTGTCCTTGGCGATAACAGCTAGTTTCCCTGCTCTGTCACCTTGCCACGCAGACCCTGTTTAAGTTGCAGTCTCCTCCACGTTCACTGTGAGCACCGCCTGATCCTTTTAATGGGGGAAAACTGGTGGTTGATTTCAAATTGCTCAAATGGGATGGGGGTTTTAAATTGCCCAAATGGGACAAGGTTTCAATTTACCAAAGTGGGATGGGGCTTTTGTTTTGTTTTTTTTATACCTGGTGAGTCACGTTCACACATTTTTCAGCAGTTTTTAAAAAGAAAGCAGAAGAGTAGAAAAGAGGAGGGCGCATCCAGATGCATGGCTCTGTGCTGAGTCTCTGTACACAAGTGCTGGGGATCACCTGTCAAGCCACCGGCAGGTGTATTCTACTCTGATTTGTGGCAGTACAAGTCTTTGAGGGCTTTCAGTTCCTCGATGAGGGTTTTGTTCTGGTTTTCCAGCACGGCCACGCGGTTCTCCAGACACTTCACGTACTCTTTCTTCTTCCGACGGCACTCGCGGGCTGCCTCCCTGTGAGACAAGAGGATGCGGGTACATGAAGCTCACATCAGCTTGACACCTACAGAAGCAATTGAGTACGAGTTACTAATTAACCTCGCCATACCTGTTTTTCATCAGTCGGACCTCCCGTTTGCGTGTGACTTCCTCAGTGGCTCCTGATCCGCTGATTGTGGGTGGAGTTGCCATGACCACCCCAGGAGTGATGGTGCTGGTGGGGGCTGTGCGGATTTGATAGGCCTGGACATCACCAGAAGCAGCTGGTGAACAAAGATAGACAAACAGTCAGTGCTTCATTCAGCAAAGCTTTACAAATAGTGTAGGTTTTGTGGAACTTCACTTCTAAACACTGTGGAAACCATTTTCCCACCTTGCACGACCACCTGGTTACTGGGCACGAGGATCTGCTGCCCGTCACTGGTCTGAGCATACTGCAGGATGGTGGCACCAGGCTGGGCTGCAGCAGTGTTGGCCATGGTGAACGTCTGCAGGCCATCCGTGCCATTATTGGCCAGCTGAATGGCTCCACCCTGGGTAATGGCAACTGCAGAAGGATAAAATTGTGCATTAGGACTTTTAACCAATTGCTTTCTGTGTTGTTCTCCTCCATCCAATACTGTAAACATTACTGGATATGGGGCTCCACACAAACTGTCATATCACAAATACTGT